CAGAAAGGGACAGCAAGGAGCAGAAAGGGACAGCAAGGAGCAGACAGAATCAGAAGGAGCACAAAGGTAAATTAGGAGAAAGAGCAGAAAGGTAAAAGAGCAGAAGGGGCCAAGGATAGAAAACAGTGTCAGAAGAAAAAATAAAAGACTGTCAAATGAAGGAGAGGAAAAGGAGATTGGAGCAGGAAGGACAAATGAAGTGAACCCTCCACTTTATTCTGGACACCATATCATAAGGCTTTGGTACCTGGGCCAGGCAGGGAAACGCTGGACCTTCTCATCTCCAAAGTTAAAAAAATATCAGTATTAATGTGTTCACTTTTATTTACTGAGTGTCAGGAAGCACAGAGTGCCGTTGGGTAGGGGTGTTGCTGATTGGCTAGAGCGGTCAGCTGGCACTCTAAGCCAATCAGTAGCTCCCCATTCATAAAAAAGGAAAAATATTTTATGAACCGGGAACTAGCGATTGGCTTAGAGCGTCAACTGTCCACTCTAGCCAATCAGCGGCACCCATGCCTGACGTCAATCTGCACTTCCTGACACTCTGCTTCAGAAGCCAAATACCACTGAGCGACCTGGAGCTGGAGGAAGCCTTTGGGGTTAAACCATTTGAGAGCGAATTAACCCCTTAAAGGAAAGCGAGCACCCAGGGGCTTCCTGGCATCATAGCATTTTAATTTAGGTGAAGTTGTTATGGTGACCAGAATGGTCCTTTAATTTGCTTAAAGGAACACTATAGTGTCAGGAATACAAACATATATTCCTGACACCATAGTCGTGAAAACGCTATTCACCCTGGCTTTATGTGATAATGGCTATGCCCCTTCCCTTTCATGACACTGTCAAAAAAGTACCAAGCATGGATCTCATTACAATTATGCCCCCCCCTGGAAAAATTCCTGCGGACGCCCATGTGTAGCAGTCACTGGCAGTTCAACAGGAACTTCGGCTGGGAAAACTGCCTCCCTCCCATACATCAAAAGAAAAGGTGAATATTTGGTAGTGGTTTGGACCTTCGACCTTATGGAAAACAATGTTGTGTCCAAATACACGTCGCTTTTATTTGGATTCTCATTCACCAATTTAGTGAGAGCTCTACAATGAATAAAATAAAAAAACAAGATAAAACATATTTACAACGCTCTTGTAACTAATGTGGAATTTTTAGTTCTCAGCACACAACACAAACAAGTATGCTGAAAAAAACAACACGAGAAGATGCCGATTTGCGCAGTGCAGCTTTTTGCAGCTCATGTGCAATCGCCTCTCAATGCTTTCATATAAAAAACAGGGTGAGTGGGTTCATAAATACCTTCACTGGTGGTACTGTGTGCACCCCTTCTCCCCAGTAGTCAGGCTCTCTGGTCTGCAGCTCCGCCGGGAGTGAGCTGCATACAACGTGGTAAATTTTGCGATCTGCAGTCAGAGAGTTTGCTTGCTAACCAGCGGAAACATTCTGACATTCTGATCGCGAGACACTTCAGTCTGTAGCTCACTCCCGGCAAAGCTGCAGACAGGAGGCTGGCTCTCTCCTAGGCAGACGGACTGGAGGGGCCTTGCACCAATGCAGCATTATGGGCAAGCCGCTGGGCCCCCTCCTGTGTCTGTTCCTCGGTTTCTGACCTAAGATCTGACATTGTAGTCTTCCCTAAGGCGACATTAAAATCTCCTAATTAGAGAGCCGCCTGTGCCTGGACGGGTCTACCTGTGAGGAGACACAAACAGTTTGGAAAAGATGAGTTAAAAAAGCATTTAAAAGTAATCAGAAGGGGCATGGAATTTAAAGTGTTTCTTTAACACTATATTGTCTGTGACAGATTCACCTATATTGCTGGTTCATCTGTTTCCCCTTTCTTTCGCTGGATTCCCTGTTCGTATGCCCCTGTTCGTGAAATTACAAAATGTCGATTGAAACTACCGAACGAACGACCACCCAGGAGAGGAGTGTGCTGCTGGTTAACCTCTTGGCCCCAATTAGAACGTTGTGGTTAACCGCAGACACCTCTCCATTCCATTCGTACGGGTGGTCGTCGTTCGCATGTCGACCACGAGGCAGCAGCCATTTTGGGACACGAGAAAGCGTAGCGGTGTTCGGTACAAATCCTATGGAACTAAAAACGGACACTTTAATCTACCGAACACCGCTGGAAGCTGATGCCCCCCCTTCTATTTCGGCGAGGCATACGAACGCCGGTCTGTTCGGGAGTTTTATGCATTCGTATGGACCTTTACCCAGATAGCCGTCCCATGGAGTCATTCGTATACCGAAGGACTGGTGAAAGACTTTGACTCCATGGCGATTCGACTAGATACATCGGATCTGAGCGCTATTCGGTGGAAATATGCACTCAGATCCAGGCTGTCTGGGGATACGTTATACGAACTATATTCATTCGGTATTTTCTAAGTTATGTATTTTAATGTATTTTTATTACTGTATTTTAAAATGGCGATGGTCTCTATCCTAGGAGATAATTAGGTTTCTTCCCAATTATCTCCGAGGTAGAGAAGACGGATTTATGGGTAAGATGGGAAGGGCTTATATTGAAGCCACTGCGATTGGCTACTGTACAATATGTTTTACAGTCTTCCACAAGGTCCCCTCGGGGAGTGTCCACCTTGTGGAGACCTGCATAAATACCGGGCAGGTAGCCCCCATTAAACAGAACCTTATTTGACCCTCAAGACGGAGCTTGGTCTCGTTTGTGGGGGAATTACTACTGGGACAGCGCTTTCGTTATTTTTAGCTGTGGAAGGCGTTCGACTGTTTTGCTGATCGGGAGTTGCCGTGTTCATGAACTTCGTTCGGGAGTTTGGAGGTCGGCTCGATATAAACTGCATTTCTGGAGAAGAGGATTATTCACTAAA